ATATCGTTACTCTTTATAACCAAAATCAAGAGATATAATATAAATATAGGTCAATACAAATGAAACTTAAGATAGCACGCCATATTCTCTTATGTTTTTTATTAATTTAAACACTAAATAAAACTGGTTTTAACGGGTTAATGCACGAAACTTTATTTATTTATGACGTTTCGTGCATTAACCCGTTAAAACTAGTTTTATTTAATGAGTGATGTGCGTGAAAACCAAAGAAACAAATTTGAAACACATTTGTAATAGTTTTATCAACTATTCTCACAATAATAGATGTTTAAATCTAAAGAAAACTTTACTAGAATAAAGAAAGTCCACCCGGACCAATCAGCAGACGGCACTCGAACCCGTATCCCGCTACCGCGGCCCTGATGGCTGTATCGAATTTTCTCTCTCCTTTCTTAAGCTAAAAGGCAGCCCCATCTTTGCGCATTGTAGGTAATCCACAATATTCTCAGAATATTAAAGTTCTAATAATTGGATTTCATTGTACGTAATCAGCTAAAATACGTAAGTCTAAAATACGTTGTAGTTTCAGTATTTTCCTTTATAATAAATCACGAAACGATTGAAATTTTTTGAAAGTAAATGAATAGGCGAGACTCAGTATATCGCGCCACAACGTGCTCCGCAATGCAGTCTGGTGGATTGAAAATTTTCCAATTTGTTTTTAGGTTAATACATGGCCGATATGCTGTCGCCGAATCGAGTTACGGACGTTGCGAAAATAAAAATGTTCGCGTTGCATTTTATCATATATGAAATTTTCGTCGTGTTCAATGCATCGGAAATGTGGAGAGTTTGTATGTTGTCATATTGTACGATATAAGATTTAAGAATAACTGTTTGTGGAAAAGCTCCGTTTGATTCGAATACGTTTGTTGATAAAAAGTTTTCATGTTTGAATTGTAATATTTACGTCGCGATAAGAATTAGAAGGCTAATCTTATCCGAATGATTGAAGAACAATGTAAATAATATTTGTGTATTGTGAAGGCTTCTGGAGAGCTTTGTCACCGTAAGTCATAACAGTATTGCAAAAAATGAAAATAACAATGACATAATAACGAATAATCTATAACTTAATTTTCTGGGCACCGAAGAAACTTTTACTAATAAAACTTTTTTTAGTGTCGCCGCACACGGGCCACCGACCACAACCACAAAACGCCGCCACCGGTATATTTTTTGTAGTTTTCATACATTTTATATGGACTCGCCACACACGTTACGGCGGTGGCCGCCACATGCTACAAATCGTCGTCACTCGCTTCTTGTGCCCCGCACCGGCCACTTAATGCGCCGATACAAAACGCCGCCACACGTCACTCGCGCGATTCCCCACCCCTCTCTCCCTTACCTTTGTCGGCCGCTGTCGCGCGCTTCAGCCACTTTAGTAGCAGCTTCCTGCTTCTCGTGGCGACGTTTGTAGCTGTGACGTGTGGCCCGTGTGCGGCGACATTTAAATGTTTTGCTCAACAATTAGTAGCACTTATTTTAAACAATAGGCCGCCCGAGACGTCGCCCGCTTTAACTTTAGTTTTTTGAGCATCCCACAGGTACCTGATAGTGATGTAACGGATATTCGCATTCACATTCGCATTCCCAAAATCTCTGCGAATGTTTTGCGAATATGAATATTAGAAAAAAACAATTTGAAGAAGTTGTAGTTCTGCCTTTCCTTGAATATTCATTGTTACACAGTTTGCATTTAGTTCGTTCAGCATCGCAAAGTGTGAAATAAGTCCATGTTTCACTAGAATTCGATTTACTCATGTTAATAAATCACTATTACCACTCACAATCACTAACTCAAAATTCACTTGTTTTGTTTACGGAAAGACCGGTGCCAGCGGAATGACACTTCAGTCGAACGAGTTCATATCAACTCGGCAATTCGAACGAGACTGCCACTATGCCATAGACAATTGGCGCCAATTTAAAAAAAAAACTAAAAGAATGTCATGTACCAGACATCCAAATGTTCAAAAAATGACATTCGTTACATCACTAGTACCTAACATTTAACTGAGATAAAAAGTATACTATGTATCAATCCAGATCATGATCTAACTATATGCGTACCAACTTTCATTCAAATCCGTTTAGTAGCTTTTGCGTGATTGAGTAACAAACATACAAACTTTCTCATTTATAATATTATTAGTATTATTTTCTTTTTTTATTATAAGGGATGTAAAAAAATACTTTGCTTTATTGTTGAATAAAGTCTGCCGCTATCCGTCAGCAGCTACACGGATTGCGACGCATCTGTGTAATTGAAACACAATTGCGACCACATCATCCCCGGAAAGGACAATACCCTAAGTCAATACTTACACAAAAGATCTCTATGATTTATTTCGTCTCGATATTCTAACCATGACCGGGTTTCTCCCGTGTATATACATACATAGGGAGCCCATGATTGAAAAGCTACCGTATTATTCGTAAACTCAATTTCGCTTTATTTTTTTTATGCGTTTTGTTCATCGTAGAATAGAATAATCTTTATTTGCATTAAATAGGGTTGACAAACTTTCATTCCCTATTTTATCCCCTTGGGGGTAGAATTGATCAAAATCCTTTCTTAGCGGTTGCCTACATCATAACATCTACCTGCATGCCAAATTTCAGCCCGATCCGTCCAGTTGTCTGGGCTGTGCGTTGATAGATCACTATGTCAGTCAGTCAGTCACCTTTGAGTTTTTTATATATATATATATATATATAGATAAGATAGATACTCGTAGCAACCTGCTGGAAATTTGAGTGAATTTTAACATCCCTCTTTCACGCTACACACCATAAACTTGGTAGGCAATAATGTTTTGTTTTAGGGGCATGCTTGGAATTTCTCGTCGAGTTCTGGATTCTTGTAGAAAACGGTATTACGGTGAAATTTATACGTGCCCCAGGTGTGTTTAGAATTAATTTTAGTATTAAGTGATTACCTAAGTGATCAATAGCTTAGCAACAAGAGGGCCCTACATTTCTAATGAAAACATCATTTGTTCTTAATACATATACAGGGTGTCTCACGGGTTTGTCACACGGAGGGAAAGTATATTAAATATTGGAGATAGTATTAGTACAGTCAATCTGTCGAAAAAAATATCGTTTCAGTGAAAAAAAAAACCTAAAGGGTAAGTCTTGTTTTTTCTGTTGCCAAATGACGTCAGTAAGCCACCTTGGCGATGGGCATGATCAACTCGTAGGCGTTTTTTGAAAAACTCAAAAAATCCGTCAAAAATTTTTTGTAACTCATTTTTCTTGTTTTGTATGCATTTTAGAAACTTGTTTTTTTTTACCATAATTGTAGAGGGCGTTGAGTACTACAATTAATGTCATTGTTGCAATTTCGTACAACAAAAAATGCGCATTGTAGGTGGCGCTAAAGTCTCAAAAAAGGGTTTTTTCACTTTTTCACCCTGAAAATATCATTATAATGGAAACCTTTAAATGGCAAAGTTGTTTCGTACATAATTACCAACAACTTTTGTATAAACATTTTTTTTGTATTACTTACCGTTTTCAAGTTATAAATTGCGCAGGTATGAAAAATCCAATAGAGCGGTTTTGGGCAGTTCACGTACACATTTGCAGTGCACATTTCAATGTACGTTTTACTATGTTTTATTTTTTTCATGATTGAAAAACAAAAAGAAATGAAAAAAAATAAAAAAATAAAACAGTTTTATTTTTATTTTTTTTCATGATTGAAAAAAAAATATCTTTTTGCAAACCGTACTTTTCAAGCGACATTTCACAGATGGAGGTCATTGGCTTTCCTATTCTTATTTAAATCACATTATAAAAGGCCATTAAAAAAATTGTGAATACATTTCTAGTTATTATTAAAAATAAAACGATGTCTTCTTTCAGTCAAAGATACTCTCTTCAATATTTAATATACTTTCCCTCCGTGTGACAAATCCGTGAGACGCCCTGTATAGTTTATGATCTGAAATGAGACATAGTATACTGTTTATCCCGAAAAAATGATCGGTCCTGAAGGATTCTCCAGAAACTAAAGTTATCACGGACCAATTAGCGGACGACCGCTATTGTAAAAGTACCTTAAAATTAATAAATTGGCAAAACTTTAATATATTGTCAAATTAACGGGGAAATTAATTAGAGGGCTTTTCAAACTAATCCACCAATTGGTTGCCGGGCTTATAAAATTCAGCAGCAGGTATAAAAGTTTAACGTTAGTTTAAAGTTTGGCCGTGTAAATTGAATGTTTAATTAATAAACTTTAATACGTAAAGAATATTTTTTTATTGCATCCACATATTATTTACTAGTTCATTAAAGAAAAACAAAATGCATGTTACAACAGAGGATAAAACAAAATTATGTAGTTGATATGCCTTACACAGTTTTAACAAGTACAATACAAACATATACTTAATGTGACCCATTCACGAGCCGAAAATAAAAAGCAAAACTATAAATATATTATAATGAATATTTCCAACACTCACACCAATTAGCCTAGCCCTAGGTAAGTAGGTAAGTACTATAAGGCTTGTGTTACGGGATACTAGGGTAATGGATAGAATACATAATACTGTATATAAATACATATTAAACATCCATGACTGGAGTACAAATGCTCGTATTCATCACACAAACATCTGCCCCCACTGGGATTCAAACCCGGGATCTCTCGAGCCGGCGACGACCCCATGAAACCAAACGTTGGAAACCCATGAAACGAAAGTTCAAACCACTCGGCCAAGGAGGTCGCCAAATGTAAGTATCAAATGATGATAAATTAAATTAAGTATGCAAAAAAATCCTTTGTTTTTGAAGTAATGTTGTCTCGCCAGAAACAAGTCTACATCACTTGAATAGTTAGTATTAAAGTTTTGAGTAAGCTTATCTATTAAAATTAGTTGAACATAAATCAACATGAAATCTCAAATAATTACCTAGGTCAGGCAATTGTCGAGATTATTACGCCTATTTCCATAGCTTACCTGACACCTTCCATCGATGCACATGTCCAGACTGCCTGGTCTACATCTGGTGCCGTCTGACACCCTCGCTGCCAGGACAGCCACTACCACCCGGTCTTCCTCATCCAAAGACACCGTCTGAAAGAGTTTCTACTTAAGCATGGTTTGATGATTCCTACATGAACAAAGAAATTCGGTGTCTCATTTCTTTGTCGTACTATTCGCAAGTGGAATTCATTGCTTGGGCACGTGTTGGCTCCGCCCGATCTGGGGTCCTTTAAGGGGCGTGAAGAACCATAACTACAGACCGGCATGGTGAGGATGGTTGTTGTGGCAGTTTATAACTGCTGCACCAGCTATCTGGGCGTCTTGACTTTACCACGATTTAACATCAGGTGCGGTAGAGTCGTTTGCCTACCTAGCTGTAAAAAAAGAACTAATTTCTACAAAATTAGTTCTTTGTTCATTTGTCCATGTTACGGAAGGATCGATGTATATAGACATTTCTATCACTCACTCCAATTAGCCTAGCCTAGAACTAATCTCTGTAAAGTCTATCTTATGGGATACCAGGGCAGAAAACAGAAATACATAAAGAAAAGAAATACTCTACCTTCTCAAGGCTTTACATTAATTTGGATAATAAATGCATGGTGTTCTGATCACAGTCGCGACTGTGAGAAAGACCAGTCAGACCGGGTCCTCTAACTCGAAGTTGTTAACGAAAGATTTGTTTTCTGAGATGGGGCTCTTTTTAAAGCCCCATCTCTAACCATTATCAATGAAATACACGTCATAGGCGGAAGGAAGTACAGGCATTGGTAATACTAACTGAGCATCAATTCGGAAACAGCATTCCTCCGCCATCCTAATTGAAAGAAGTGTCCAAAACCTTGGATATATACTCAGTGTTGCCAACTCGGATTTTGAAAAAGGCGTAGGCCCGATGAGAAAATTACGTAGATTTAGTAATTTTTGCATATGAAAAGTACGTAGATCTACGTACTTTTTTCTGAGTGAAATTAAGAAGTCAGGTGAAACCGAATGAAACGAGTATTTTGTTATACAATTTCTTTAAAAACGGGAGATAGAACAAAGAGGTCTTGGAGAAATCACTGCATTGGAAGCATTTACCACGCTGCGGTAGGCCATGACCATGTGGTATTATAAAACCATGATTTCTAATAGATCACATGAAAAATAGAGTTAGTTATCATAATACACTTGGTAAAAGACTCTAGAAAGTTGTGGTTAAAATTGCCAAGGGAAATAATACATACACTTATACATGAACACATGTTAAAAACTTACTAATTCCTGTAACTTTATCGACTGAAAGTCATTTCTTTTTGCAAACATCAATTCGATGTAAGTACTCATTGAATAATATTTAAAGTTTAAAAATTCAATTTTTAAGGTTACGAAGGTTCCTACTAAGTCAAAGAGTTTTGTTGTTTCTCCTTTCACAAATCCTGCGTCCAGCATTAATTTAGTCAACAAAACCAATGACGGGAACCTTTTCTACAAGATACAAGAGTTTTTAGATATATCTTTATAATAAATAAACATTTTTATAGTTTTTAAGAAAAGTAACGGAAAATATTCTTCTTTATTCTAGTGAATTAAGTTATTTTACAAATTTGAAAAAATTAAAGAAAATACGTAGATTCTGGGACTAAAGTTAGTAGGTTTGCAGAAAAGGCCTAAAATATGTAGATCTACGTACAAAGACGTAGAGTTGGCAACACTGTATATACTTAACACTTACTGGTTCAGGGTTCTGGCCTGAATGCTGTGGTGTGCCTCTGCAGGTAAGAGCGCAAGGCTCAGCATCGTCTCTGTGAGCGGTCCAGTGGAATAGTTCTCCACCGTAAGGGGTGCTGTCGTGAGCACTGCACTGCTGCTCGCGCCAAACATCTTCCTCTAAAAGCGATATGTTCCCTCGGCATGGCTGAAATCAAATGATACCTATCAGTAAAAGTATCATAATATTCAAAAGAACAAGTTTCAACTATACAGTTTTTATTGACGTTTGGCATCTTTTACAGGATGCGTCGAAGGATGCGAAACGTCAATAAATAAGTAAATCAGTGCATCTATACCATTGAAACTTGTTTTATTTAATGAGAAGTGTGCGTGAAAACCTAAGAAACAAATATCATAATATTCACTTAGTCTATATGTCGCCGCACACGGGCCACCGACCACAACCACAAAACGCCGCCACCGGCATATTTCTTGTAGTTTCATAAATTTTATATGGACTCGCCACACACGGTACGCCGGTGGCCGCCACACGCTACAAAGCGTCGTTGCTCGCTTCTTGTGGCCCGCACCGGCCACTTAATGCGCCGATATAAAACACCGCCACACGTCACTCGCGCGAACACCCCACCCCTCTCTCCCTTGCCTTAGTCGGCAGCTGTCGCGCGCTTCAGCAACTTTAGTAGCCGCTTCTAGCTTCTCGTGGCGGCGTTTGTGGCTGTGGCGTGTGGCCCGTGTTCGGCGACACTATCATTATGGCACTTACAACATTGCCAAAATATCGGGGACTTGCAAATGAAGGTACTTGGTACCAATATTTACTCTAAAAGTATTATGTTCAAAGAAAAATCTATTTAGGAATAATTTATTCAAGAAGAATGGAGGAGGTAGTGTAAAGATGAAGAACGAAACTGCTAATTGCGCTTCAATAGTCACTCCCACTGCACAGCAGTTATTCTCTGTCAAGTCAAATTTGATGAAAGTATTTTATAACCCTACTAGAAAAATAAAAAAAATATTTCGCCATATTTCAGAATCCAAATGTTAGTAACATTAGCAATTAAGGTTTATCTATTTATCTGTTCAAACAAGTCTCACTTAATATGCAGGTAACCGTATACAACTTAAAGCAATTACATCAAAAACAAATTCAAACCCCAAATCCACCTAATGTATGCGGGGATTGACAACGAAACGAACTCACGTAAGAAACCCGTGGTTTCGCTTGCGAATACTTATTATCAGGAGGAGACAATCTTCTCGATTCAAATCCAGAGAAAAGTACAATCAGGACCACTTATATGAGTTTAATCGCCTTCCAGACGTTCTGGAGGGGCGCGGGAGGATGGAATGCGGGGGGAATCACAATGAACGTTGTTATTGGAGAAGTTTATTTTCTCCGTATTTTTTCTCTCTCGTTAATCTTAGGGGTGATCGATATTAGAAAAACATCGAATCAAAAGTATCGATGTGCGTAAATATCGATAGAAAAACATCGATATGTCTAAAACATCGATGTTTTTGGAAACAAATAAAACTGTCTATTATATTTATGAAATGATTTAATTAATAGATAGGGTGTCAGTAAGAGTGTACTCCTTAATATTAAAATATAAACACGTATTTTTTGAGAGAGTTGTAATGTTTTTATTGGATTCTAGAGTAGATTATGTTCCGATTAAACATGAAATAAAATATTCGGCAAAAGGCCCCCACGGCTCTGATGACAGGCCATCTTAAAGCGCGCCATTTTTAATAATGAGAGCAAACGTGAGTGAAACCTGTCAAATTTCAGAGTTGCCACCTATACGAAAAAAAATGACACTAAATTTAATAAAAACTGCACTCTTACTGAGACAACTAGAAATCACAAAAATAATTGACGCTCCGATATTTTATTCTAGTAACATCGATGTTTCGATGATATCGTAGTGAAATGAAATGAAATGAAATGAAAAAACCTTTAATGAAATGAAAAAACCTTTATTGGCCATCTTACATAATCTTAATTATTAACCCATCGATGTTAAAATATCGATGTTTTCCAGCTAAACATCGATGTTCATTTAACATCGATGAATATCGATCATCCCTAGTTCATCTATCTGAGTTTCCAACTGTTTCCAATTTCAAATACACTGTCTGTCGATATTTTTCATAGATTAGCGTCGACCATTTCTTTCATCTGTCAATCAGCGACTAACTTTGTTTGCTTATTAAGGAAATGTTTGGGATGCAAGAGGATTTACACGATTTGCGTTTTTAGTAGTATCCTGGGGTGAGAATTCTTAGAATGACAGCAAACAATAATAGAATCGGAAACATGAACAGGATAAAAGTCCAATTAATAATTAAAGTGACTTTTATTACGTCTACTGTGTTATACTAGGAACTAATGAGAAACTTAACAGCTAACAATACGGGTTTTTTTTTGGGTTTTTTTTTTCTTTTTTTCTTTCTGGGGATTTTTTTTATTGATTTATATATTGATTCTTTTATGATTATGATTTTATTGAATTTAAAATGTAATGATAACAAATTTTCGTATGCTGTTGAGCATGTCATGGAGGCATATTTATATAAATTTTAACAAGTTATTGTTACCGACGACAACGAATAAATGATTTGATTGATTGATTGATAACAGTGTAGATCAAAGATAATAAAAACTTATTTGGAAACTGCTCATTTTGATCAGCTAGCTAGCTAGCTATTAGATCAGATCACTTTTCTCGTTGAGATATTATGATTATGAGAAATTCTATACAATTAAACTTATATATGTATCAGTGTATGTATTCTATCCTAAAATGTTTGGCGACCTCCGTGGCCGAATGGTTTGTACGCCGGGTATCACGGTGTCGCCGATTCGAGAGGTCCCGGGTTCGAATCCCGGTGGGGGCAGATGTTTGTGTGATGAATACGAGCACTTGTACTCCAGTCCTTGATGTTTAATATGTATTTCTATATAAATATACTTATTTAAGTACAGTATATTATATATATTCTATCCGTTACCCTAGCATCCCATTACACAAGCCTTACAGTGCTTACTTTGCGGCTAGGCTAATTGGTGTAAGTGTTGGAAATATTTATTTATTTATTATTTATCCGTTACCCTAGTATTCCATAATACAAGCCTACAGTGCTTACTTTGGAAATATTTATTTAATTTCATTTAAAAATGTTTTCACATATACATTGTCAAATTGAGTTTTGTGGTGCTCTCCAAAATCCGAAAAGTTTAAATGATCTATAGGTACGAAAATTCTTTTAGTGGACCGTACCCAAAGAGTGACAAAGGCAAGCTTAATGATAAGCCTCAGGTCTATATCTCTCACAGGGCTTTATCTCGTGAACGGAAAAAGGTAATTTTCACAATAAAGCTAGTTAGTATTCGCTATTACAACAAAGACATGATTAAAGTCAAAAAACAAAGGAGGTAGCCACACACGAAAGTTTTTTCATCTATAATCACTAAAAAATATCCGACTAGTTTTATTTCATTGGTTAAGTATTGGAGTATGATGACCACCGTGGCCGAGTGGTTTGTACGCCGTGTTTCATGGCTGTCACCACCTCGAGAGGTCCCGGGTTCGAATCCCGGTGGGGGCTGATGTTTGTGTGATGGATACGAACATTTGTACTCCAGTCATGGATATTTAATATGTATTTCTATGTATATACTTATATATGTACAGTATATGTATTCTATCCGATACCCTAATATCCCATAACACAAGCCTTACAGTGCTTACTTTGGGGCTAGGCTAATTGGTGTGAGTGTTGGAAATATTATTATTATTATTATGGATCGGAACCTTTCGTTTGCGAGTTCGATTCATTCTTTGGCATGTTTTAATTTAATAGAGATCGCAATACAAATGGTATATCCAGTATCATATCACACGGGAATAATTAACTATATCATATAGATTACTAGCTGTGCCCCGCGGTGTTACCCGCGGTTTATTAGGGATATTTACCAGCAAAAGAACGTAGCCTATGTGTTAATCCAGGGTGTCAGCTAACTCCATACCAAATTTTATTAAAATCGCTTCAGCCGTTTAGACGTAAAGAAGTAACAAACATACACACACACACACACTCACAAACTTTCACCTTTATAGTATTAGTGTGATATTGAAATATTATTCATATCTGAAGCTAATTTTACATTCAAAGAATTAAATAAATTAAATTTAATATTTCCAACACACACCAATTAGCCTAGCCCCAAGCTAAGCACTATAAGGCTTGTGTTATGGGATACTATGGTTACGGATAGAATACATATACTGTACATATATAAGTATATTTATATAGAAATAAATATTAAACATCCATGACTGGAGTACAAATGCTCGTATTCATCACACAAACATCTGCCCCCACCGGGATTCGAACCCGGGACCTCTCGAGTCGGCGACACCATGAAACCCGGCGTACAAACCACTCGGCCAAGGAGGTCGTCAATTCAAGGATATTATAAACTTTAAGTGGGAATTATTTTTACTTGCGGAGGTGATATCTATTTTAAAACGTAAGCCCTAAAACGTGATATGTGTCACGTAATAATATTTTCATGTTTACTGGGTTTTTTCCGAAATCAATCTAATCTTTGTTCAAGTCCAGACGAGCTTCTTGCGAGTAGGATTTTGTTTGTACGCAAACGAAACGTATTACTATGTTTTATTTTTATTTTTTTAAGTATTTAACTGCTATATGTTTAAATCTAAAGAAAAGTTTTAATAGAAAAAAAACCACGCGGACCAGGCAGCAGACGGGAATCGAACCGCACCCTTCGCAATCCGGGCGAATGCACTGACCAATTATGCTACCGCGGGCCCTGTTGGCCGCGTCGAAATTTTCCTATCCTGAAGCTGCAAGGCAGCGCCATCTCTTCGCATTGTAGGTAACCCACAATATTACTAACACACATATATACTAACTTCAAAATAGGATGACATTTAACCTATAATCATAATCAAAATCATTTATTTAGTTCAGGCTGTTAAAAGCACTCATGAATGTCTAGAAACTACGCCATCGGTTCGTAAATCTACGGCGGGAGACCTTGTACTGCGAAGAACCGGCAAGAAACTCATCAAAGACTGTTTTTTCTCTCTGTTTTATTATTTACAGAGTCGTCAAGTAATGACTTGTAATGTTTATAGCTTCATATAT